ACAAGGGGAAATCAGTACCAAACGTAGGAGGTGATATACCTGGATCTACTGTATTTGGGTCAGAACCCAAGTTTAAATGTCATATTTTAAAAAAAACACTATTGTGTCTGACACATTAAAAAACTGTCCATAAAAATAAAAGAATGCAATAGTAGAAAAATAGAGGCCAGAACAGCAAAAGCAGTAGTTTCTGTTCTCATCTGTCTGGCCTTCCTGGAACACTGGGTTCTGTTTTGGGCCCCACTCTGATCCAGGTGGTGAAGGCCAGAGACGGACGAGTGAATGGACCTGGGGTGTTTGGCCCAAAGACAAGACACAAGAGGACCCTTCCACTGCTCCGCTCACCAGCAGGGCTGGCAAGGAGAGGACTCCAGAAAGCGGAATTAAGGTGAGTGTCTTGAATTCACAGGGAGGCTAGTTTCTGTCCAATATAAGGAAACACTTTCTAATAATTAGAGCTCTAAAAATAGAGTAATTTAAAACGGGACTGAGCTGTCTCGGGAGGCGGACGGCCTGGGGAGCACTCGCACACAGTTGAAGAGCGTGTCCTAGAGGGGTTATGGAGGAAACCTAGACACTGTGTGAGGCTGGGAGGACATGGCTTATGCAGATCCTAATAACCCAGGGGTGGGCAAACTTTTTGACTCGAGGGCCACAATGGGTTCTTAAACTGGACCGGAGGGCCAGAACAAAAGCATGGATGGAGTGTTTGTGTGAACTAATATAAATTCAAAGTAAACATCATTACATAAAAGGGTGCGGTCTTTTTTTTTTTTTTAGTTTTATTCATTTCAAACGGGCCGGATCCCGCCCTCGGGCCGTAGTTTGCCCACGGCTGCTAATAACCGAAGGATTCCTTGCTTTTCTCACATGCGTGTTGTGGGGGTAGAACACCTAAGTACAGAAAGCCAAAACTCACCTGCAATAATGGCACTGGTTGTAAAGAAAATATGGTTAATGGGCACCACCGTCGCTGTACTGTAGAGATTCGTGGCTTGATTCAGGAACCTAGAGCAGAAGGCACTTCCTGAAGCTCTGGCCTTCAGAGATGCTCAGCAATAAGTTAACAATAACATCAAGAAATGCATGTTCTTCAGCTACAACTACAAAGGGAAAGGAAGTGCAGTAGAAGGGCATTTCCAATCAGCAGTCATAGCTTATATGCATCTGATGTATGAGATCAGATGTCAGGTTTTATGGTCTGTTTAAACCAACAACAGTAACAATGAAAAGCAATTAATCATATTCTGAGGCCACAGAAGTTTGAGTTGGAAGCAATTCAAGCTGCTGGACCGGTATCACACTGCGGCTGATTCATTACGATAGACCCCAGAATCTGTTAAATATCATATCGAGGGAATAGTAGAGCTATGCATTGACATGCCACGTGCCAAGAAAGAAGATGGAGAAGTAAAAGGAATGTTTAATGTTTCAAAAACAATGCTTGGGGCTCCAGCTGCAGAGCACATGTGGGAACTTGGCTTCTCACGTTGGCGACCAACCGAATTCAGGTTCCCGCACTGTGCTGTGCTGCCCTGTCCGGGACTAGACCAGTGATGGTGAGCGAACCTTTTGAGCTCGGCGTGTCAGCATTTTGAAAAACCCTAACTTAACTCTGGTGCCGTGTCACATACAGAAATTTTTTGATCTTTGCAACCATAGTAAAACAAAGACTTATATTTTTGATATTTATTTTATATATTTAAATGCCATTTAACAAAGAAAAATCAACCAAAAAAATGAGTTCACATGTCACCTCTGACAAGCGTGTCATAGGTTCGCCATCACTGAACTAGAACCTTCTCTAGAGCAGTGCATTGCACTGACATCACCTGGGTGCTTTCAAAAAGCATGAATGCTTAGGTCCTATTCTTGAGCAATTGGAAAAAAAAATAATTTTTGTGGGCAGAGCCCAGGTGTGCCTGTGCCTGTATATACATGCGTGCATGTGTGTATACATATACGCACATAAGTATGTGTAATTAAGCCTCCTCGGGTAATTTTAATGGGCAGCCAGGGCTGAAAGCCACAGTTCTACAGTTCTAGTGTGTTCACCCAGCTCCAGTGTGAAAGATGTAGAGACGGAAACAAGGGTGATAAGAACGCAGTTTACCTTTGACTGTATCTACCTTTTACATTCATAAAGCATAGTTCAAAGATAATGATGCTAATCGTTACATTCTAAAAGGTAGTAGAGCAGCCCTGATTAATTCAGAAGAAGAGAAGAGACAAAACAGCAAGACTCAAGTATTAGAAACATACTCAGTCTTATAAGGAAATGACTAATGAAACAGTGACAAAACATTGGTTTCTCCGGTAATTGTCCACACTCCTAGTTACAGGGCCTATAGCCAACCCATGACAATGAGACTGGACTTCTAGGACTAAGAAAGGAACCAATCTCTTCCTGAGTTTGGGCTCTGACTTCCTCGCTGGCACTGGGATGGTGGCTTTGCATAGCACTTAGGGGGTAAACAGAAAACTTTCTGGTTGACTCGAGAGCCTCGCAGGCAAAGGCATCCTCCCCATGTGACATGGAGGGGAAGCCATTGGAGCAGAGGGGTTGGGGGGAGGCGGGGAGAGCAGAAATTAAAAATGTTCCATGTCACCACTATTAGGCCCCAGGAGAAACATAAAACAATCATTCCACAGTCCCTTGGGTACGAAGCAAATCCTGGCCAAAGATACAAAGTTCTGAGGAAAGGATTTCCCTCCCGGCCAAACGTCTGGTTTTGTCCATCTCTGGGCAATTAATGAGCATGAGCTAAGAAGTGAAGGTGAAAGGTTCATGTATTTCCTATACTTAGAAAAGAAATCTGGATGTGGACCTGCCCCTTTGATTTATTGCTAATGACAACCCTGTGTACGATGGATATTAATTACTAGCAGAAAAGCATCAGGAAAGTATCAGAGTGCACTTAGCTGGATTATGGCTGCACTTTAGAGCTCACAAGATGTGAAGGCAATGCTCAGTAAAAACTCCTTATTGGATGTGAAGGCTATTGCAAGGCATGTTAGCTGAGGATAAGCTGTAGACCCTTCACCCTTCTAAGTCAGTTGCATCTAATTTTAATGATCATCTGAAGCCAAGAAAGACGGATGCTCAGAGAAGCACAGGAATGCTGAAAGACTGGTGAGGACAGGGACGCTAACTTACTTGACTTGGAAAACACAAGATGCTATCATGATGATCAACATGATATAGAAGATGGGATACGTTAGCTGCATTTTATCCGTCACAGAAAAAGTGATCATGCCTGAGACAGCTTTCACTGAAATAACAGTCAATGAGGCTGAAAAACAAAACAAAGAACACAAATAAAATACATACCTGAGACAGAATGACAAATATCTTCAGTGTACATGGCACAGTGGTAAATACCCCCATGATGCTTTAAGCATAAAGATTCTAGCTAAGCAGGAGCCCTGGTGTTTACGCTGGGCTGGACTTCAGATTGGCTTCTATCAGCTAAAGATCTGCTGTGTGACTGTGCTTTTTATCTTTGGAGCAAGATGCTTATTTTCCAGCCGTAACTGTTGAAAGGATGCTATAGAGGTTATAATTACTAAGAGCTGGGAAAGGAGAAAACAATGAAGGGAGGAGATAAGAAAAGTGGGATTGTCCACGTAACGTTAATGGGAAAATAACTATGAAGCTATACTGAAAAAAATGTAAAGCCAAATAGATGAGAAGACTGAAAACTGAAAAGCAACTCACTCTGAGTTTACTAAGAGTTGTACTTGGTCTATGCGTGAACCCTTTGTTAATAAATGCCTACAAGTTTCATTAAAATATTTTTTGAAGATGACACTAACAGGAAGCAGAACCTGAGTATTCATTTCTCAGAGTCAACCATAAGTCTGAGATTTACACAAGCATGTCTACACACTTTCTACGCTAAAGAGGAACCTGTCCCTCACGGGAACACGTCTTTCTTAGTTTCCAAATAGCAATGAAGAAAAAGTGACTTGACGAGGTTCTATCAACGTGAAAGCAACGATGCATTTTCTGGAAACACCATGCTTCTGTAGGTAGAAGACAGGGGTTCCCTTTTGCCCAGGTCCCTTGAAATTACGTTACCTATGATTCCATAAATTAGCTGAAACCTACAGAAAAATAAAAAAGTTTTACATGTAATCAAATATAATTATAAGTCAAAGGCAATGGGAAGGAGAAATACTGTTTTTGTTGCTGTTGATATCTAGTCATAATATATCTGAACTTTACTCCTTTTAGCTTCTGAAAAGAATATATATATATATGATGTGTTTAAATAGCAGGTGAAGTGTTCCAACTAGGAAAAGCCTTCCAGAATCTCCTTTTCCAAAAACTGAAAGTACTTTAACTTGAAGGGTACTAGGGCACACTTCCAAATTAGGCATTTTCTTTCTGTTATAAGTCACATTAACAGAGGAGACCCGGTAATAAATTCTAAAAGCAAACCCCCAATCCGAACAAAGAGGCCCTTACAACTGGGCACCTCTTCATTTTAAAACGTCTTTTGACCTGACCTTCTACATATTTTCTACAGAGTACGACAACACTCATATCTCAGCGAACCTACGGAATGTCAAGTATCTCTCGAGATGTGTGTTACTTGATGGTTTAAGTTTGTAAAGTTTGCTCTTGAGGGACCTTGATTTCCTCCTGAACATGTTGCTTGTAATTAGAGCACAATGTGATTATGGTCCTGTAGTCGGAACAGCTTGGATTCCCAAAGGGATCACTGATGGAGAAACAGCTGAACACACTGTTCCATGAGCCGCAGAACCTGGGACTGCCAACGCCCTTAAAGGTCACCGACTTTTAAAAAATCATCTAATTCAACCACCACCTGACGTTAAATTATACTTAAACACAAAACACAAACAAAACTGGAATTCTTTACTAAACAGCTAAACCAACTATGAGTTGCTCGAGTTGATCATTGCATTTTCAAAGCATGCACAATCACCAACTGATTAATCACTATTTATTATAACTCTGAAAGTTATTTCTAGACTGGTATCAAGTTCTTCTAAGATTTTTTTTTGGTGGGGGGAGGGTGGTTGATGAGACAGATGGAAATACAAAATTGTAATGCAGTCTCATTCTAATATTGTATATATAAAAATAGAGAGTACTTGTGTATACACAGAAAAAAGATTAGAAGAACCTACATACTCTAGGTAGTGGGATTATGAATAAATTTTAAACTACTTTTTAAAAACTATACAAATATACATGTTCATTAAAGAAAATTTGGAAAATGCAGAAAAGTCTGGAAAGAAAAATGAAAATCACTTGTAACCTCAACACTCAACTCGAAGTCATTCTTAACATGTGGGAAATATTTTTGTAGTTATTTTTCCATCTTTACATTTTTCAATTATTTCTAAGAAAAAAAAATCCTAAAGTTATCAGAGAGCAAATAAAATGACCAAAAAGTCAAAATTGCTAAATATAGTTTTTAAAGAATTAAATATATCAATTTTAGTAATAGACATCTAGTTTGCATAATTGAGACTCAGTTTCTTTCTATAAATTAGAGTTGAAAAGTAGAAACAATGAGAAAGGAATAGAATGCTCAAATATTTTCCTTCAAATCTTTTTGATTTAGCATGGCTAGATTAGAAAATTAGGAAACAAAATATATCCTTACCTAGAAGCGCTACCAGGGTTAGTAGAATCACAATGTGCTTCATTCCTTTTCTTTTATAGAAATATAGGAGAATGCAGAAAACTAATATTTCTAAAATCTAGAAATAAAACAAAGAGTAAAGTATAAATTATTCTATACCAAGTCTTCAGAATGTCGCACTTCCTTGACTTTGCAAGTTATGAGAGTTGGTGAGGTGACTAGAGTCCCTAAGGACAATTATCAATATTGGAGAACAATACTTAAAACCTCAGCTGTCCAGGCCCAGAGCTCTAGCATCACCTACCTGCCAGTGGTGCCCAGATCTAGATCTCCAGTCCCGACCTCCCTCCAACTCCAGTCTTATTTATCCAACTCTCTACTAGACATCTCCACATGCACGTTTAATAGCCATATCCCACGAGTATGGGCAACACTTAACTCTGGATTGCCTGCCTTCCCTACCTGTTCTTCCTGGTGTCCTCACCCCCTCAGCAGGTGACATCACCACACTGCTCCCTCCGCCTCACTCCCTGCCACCCTCTGACCTCTGCAACGGCTTCTCATTCACCTCTGATTTTACTCTTGCCTCTCTACAATCCAGCCATTCAGCAGCCAGAGGAATTATTTAAAAGCACAATCTGGATAATATTTTATTCCCAGAGCATACATGTGACATACATATAAGGTATTTATGGTGATATGACAAGCATTCATGTGGCCCTAAGAAATAGAACTGACCAATACCTTTGAAGTCCGTTGTATGCCCCTCCCCACTTGCACTCCTCTCTCCTATGACCTCCCCAGGAACCACTGTACTGAGCTTTGTGGTTACCACTCACTTTCCTGATAGTTTATCACATTTCTATGTATCCCTAAATGACACCCTGCTTATTTTTGCATCTGTTTGGACTTTATACAAGGGGGGGTCATACTGCTTTCACTGGCTTTTTTTCACCGTGCATTATGTTTATGAGATTCATCCAGGATGATACATGTAGTAAAAATATGTTAGATCCAGTAATTCCTATGGTTTCCTATCACATTAAGAATAGAATCCAGCCCGGCTGGCATGGCTCAGTGGCTGCGCGTTGATCTATGAACCAGGAGGTCACGGTTCAATTCCCAGTCAGGGCACATGCCCAGGTTATGGGCTTGATCCCCAGTGGGGTTGTGCAGGAGGCAGCCAATTAATGATCCTCTCTCATCATTGATGTTTCTCTCTCTCCCCCTTCCTCTCTGAAATCAACACACACACACACACACACACACACACACACACACACACACACTCCTTCCTGGATATAAAAGCCCCAGCCAACTTCTCTCACCTCATCTTGTACAATTCACTCTGGGATGGTCCAACCTGCGCCAGCCACAAATGGCCTTTTTTCCTCCCTAGTGTTGGCAGTCCTCAGATTGCTCCTGCCTTTGGGCCTTTGCACTAACTATGCTGCCTGGAGGGGTCTTTCCCTGATCTTTGCACAATGGCCCCTTCTAGTCACTCAGCTCTCAGCTTAACTGTCACCTCCTCTGAGAAGTCTTCCCTGACCACTTTGATCTGACAGAGCCCCCCAGTCATCCTATCACACCCCAGACTTCAGGTGGCCACTGTGAGCATTTTATCATCATCTGTCATACTTCCTGTTCATGCACTTATGTGTTTCCTGTCTGTCTCCCCACTGGACATCAGCTCTATGAGGACAGGGTCCTTATCCGTATCGGCTGTTTGCCACCCTGTCCCCAATATTTAGGGAATTAATAAGAAAATTACACCTCAAATTTATGATGAACAACATGCCAAAAAACAGACCTAACGCTAATAAACTGAAGGTTCAATAAATACTGACTAAATGTCTAAATTTTCCTACCCCAAGAAAACTCTAGTGTAAGTCTGAGTTCTTAATTTTATTTATCATTTCTTTTCTTTTTTGAGGTCCTTAAGATAATCTGAAGCAACTCTTTTCCCCCCCCCCCCAAAGAAATGATATCCATGGACTGAAATAATAAATATGAATGTTGCCTGAACCGGTTTGGCTCAGTGGATAGAGCGTCAGTCTGCGGACTGAAGGGTCCCAGGTTCGATTCTGATCAAGGGCATGTACCTTGGTTGTGGGCACATCCCTAGGGGGTGTGCAGGAGGCAGCTGATCATGTTTCTCTCTCATCAATGTTTCTCTCTATCCCTCTCCCTTCCTCTCTGTTGAACATGAATAAAATATATTTAAAAAAATATGGAATGTTACTTTTTCTGACATCAGACAAGTTAAAATGCCGACGATTGCGATTTTTTTCTTAAGAATTACTAGAAGTAGTAACTTCACTACGTTTAGGACTGCATTTTACTTATGGAACTCTAAGTCAACAATCTCTCCTTTTCCATTCAAGGTTTCGCCTGTTGGTTTGACTTCTACGTTAATCCTCTGGGGGCAGGGAAAGCAGCAAGACCAAACCTTCTTCATTTAAAAACCCTTTCATCTACAATGGAAACTTAGGTCATCCCTTAGTCTTCTTTTCCTGGTAAATTAAACCAACTATTTTCACTCTTCCTTATAAGACTTATTTGCTAGGCTTTTGATTCAACCAAGCAGTGCTACAAAAGCGATTGGACAACGGTCTCTTTGCCTTCCCGAAGCGGCCATCAAAACACTGGGTGTCCCAGCCTGTGTACGACTCCTCAACTGTTCACAGAAATATCGCTCTTGGCTTGCTCTCTGCTCAACCACAGGCTTCCATTTCTCACCTGATACAGGGACCACAGTTCCCCCTGATGGAGAGAAGAAAGCTCTTCCTCACAGCACAGAGCATGTTAGCTAAATGGATGAGCAGGCCGATTATTAACTTTTTGGTGGGGTGGGGGGTGGGGGTGAGGGTAGTTATCAGTTCTAAAAGTCATGCATGACTTTTTGTAAATCCACTTCTGAGGCTTCAGATAAATAAAACACGAGTTCCTATTATTCATAGAATGACTGCCGTTGCCCTGGGTTTTGTCTTGTGTTACGACATCATGGCGCTCCCAGGAATAAAATATTTAAACAGCCTGAATGAATGTTAATTTTTTTCTAGCAACATTTCCCCCCCCTCTGTGAGAATATCAATATTAAAGCAGCTGTGATTCCTGCAGGTTGCTGCAACCCACAAAGAGGCTGCTTTGCTGCTGTCTGTGAGGTCAGAAGTAATAACAGCGCGTACTGCATGCTCACCATATGCTTTTCTTGTACTAATTCACGGAGTCCTCACAACCACCTTTGGAGTGGCACTCTTATCCCCATTTTACAGGCGGGGAAACCAAGGCTCAGAGGGGTTTTGCTGGCCGGCAAAAGAGCAGTTTTAATTACTGTAGTTATGATCTTTGCAGGCATGGTTTGCAGAAAAAGCACAGAATCTGCCACATCCAAGGATTAAATATTAATTACTTAGGTGTTTAACAGATTTAAACTAAACTTTAGCTCAAGATCTTAGTATATAATTGATAAGTTCTGGTCTTTAGAGATGCAACATCTAACATTAAATTTCAAACTAAGATAATATAGATCTATTTCCCTTAGAGTCTACTGCCAATGCGTTATTGAAACGTGACTTCCTTAAAGGTTTATTTTATGCTATCTTATAAATATCTGGAATTATATACATTTTTGGTGGCATTTACTTTCAAATATATTTTTATGGGACTATGGATCTCTCCCAGGACTGTGAAATTTCTGCTACAGAAATTCCTCTCTCTACCCAGGATGACTAATAAATTGAGTTGACTTTGGAAAATGGCAAAATGCAATTAATTTCAGATTTTTTGTGTGGAAACATAAGGTTTAATAAAAAGTAGCTTTATTCTTTTAAAATGTTTTCTCTGGTGTTAAAACAATATAGGATACATCATCATCAAACAATGCTGTTTATTCCTACCAAAATAAGTCCTGATGCATCTTTAATCTCCAAAGGACTTAACTTGGGCTATTAATTTTCTGATCATAAACTATGTGAGCCTTTTCTCACTGGAGGAACAATTTGTTTTGCCTATAGACAAAGTATAACATGTGTTGGTAGGACTTCAAGTTTAGACTATCATGAACTACAGAGCAAGTCCTTCTAGTTCTTAGATGTGATTGGTGACAGCTGCAGTAGTTAAAGGACTGGGTATGGTGAACAAGTAGGAAGATACAATGGGGTAGGCAGGCAGGAGGCACAGAGTATGATAGACCTGAGGAAGGCTGACCTGAGTTGGGAAGCCCAGGCCTAAAGGTGCTGGAGGGCAGGGGGAAGGGGAGCCTTCCAATATAAGAGAGGAGGGAGTGGAGGAGAGAAGATGGCGAGCTCAGTGTTTAAGATGCTACATTTGAAGAACCTCTGGGACATCCAGGCAGGGAAGAGTAATCAGTGGAGAGATGAGAACAGAGATGTGCAGCTCAGAAGAGGCCTGGGGAGAAATGTAGGTCTGGATTTGGAAGTCCTTCTAACGGAGGATGGTGGGGTGGGCAATGAGATCACCCTAGAAAACCCTGGATGAATATTTAGCATGAATAGGTAAGAGTGGTTGGCAGAAGAGGAGGAGGTGAGTATCAAGAGCCTGGGATGGAATAGTTGGAGAAACAGGGGAAACAAACTGAGGAAGCAGAGAGGCGAGCAGTTCGAGATGTGATGGGTCATGAGTAAATGCTGCTTCAGGTTCAGGAAGAATTAGGTTGCCTCTCCCCCCGCCCGCCCCCAAAAGAAAGCAATTGCATTTGGCAACTTGTGGGGAGGGATCCACTAGAATTTTAATAAATGGTGAGTGAGTAGGAGCTGAGAAAACAGAGGGGAATAAATGGTGGTGAGTGGAAGAGAAATAAGAGTTTATTAAAGGGTGTGTAGTATATGGAGATTTTTTTAAAACAGAGAAATCTTCGTTGAGTAAGAGAAAGGGGTAGAGTGGATAAAGTGGGAGACTACAAAAAGAAAAGACCTATAAACATTTATGCTCCAGTGGTCAGAATGACATATCAAAGATAGTAATATATACAGAATTCTTGTCACACAGATGAGGAACTGCCAGACAATAATGTAATACCAGGCAGTTCCTGCTGTGATAGCCCGAGTTACACTTGGAACAAATATTTTTACATAAAAGGTGAATAAAGTAGGATCGTACTATGTTACCTGTTTTAATGGCAGAGGACTAGAGCAGATAGTTTTTTGAGGTCACGTCTAATCCTAAATTACATGATTCTGTGTGCTTTGATCCTTTTAACTGAATTCACAATTACTTTACCAATCCAGTTCTTGGTTAAATGCTCAACTATCCCAGTTTTGTTCTTACTACCTGTCTTTCCTATAATGTTCTTATTTTCCACCTAAACCGATTCCTGCAAAAAGTTACGTACTAACCACTTCAATCATGTCTTCTCTTTACACCCACTGGATATGGCCACTGCAGCAAATAAATTGTCCTAATTAGTGGCTTCCAATTTCTGTACCGGCTCATTCCATTCTTTCTTTTGCACATCTCTCAGCATTACCCTACTGTGGCCTGCTTCTCCACAGACAGCCTATGGCATTGTTCTCAATGAGAATTTTTTTGAAGAGAATATCTACCTGATCTCACTCATTTATGGATAATAAAGACCATTATAAACTGATGAACAAAAATAGATACAGAGGCAGAGCAGCATCGAACAGACTGTCAAACTACAGCGGGAAGCCCGGGGAGGGTTGGGGGGGGGGGCATGCGGGCGTAAGAGATCAACCGAAGGACTTGTATGCATGCATATAAGCATAACCAATGGACACAAGACACTGGGGGGTAGGGGAGGCCGGGGGAATGTCAAGGGGGAAAAAAAAGGAGACATATGTAATACTGTTTGTAATACTTTAAGCAATAAAACAAAATTTAAAAAAATCTACCTTGAATAAATTCAAGGAAGAAAAAGGGGTCTTCAGGTACTTCCCTTTGGACTTGGAAGAGAGGTTTCTTTGGGGTTTGTGTGTTTGTTTTTACTTTTGAGTTGTCCTAAAATATGATGCTCTGAAATTGGCCAGATCCAATGTTGTGGAAATTGTTCTAGTCACGGGTCACCCTCAAGGATGGGAAACCTGGGAAGCTGGGGACGTCTATTGCTGAGTTAGTGTTTCAAATACTTTCATGTTGGTCAAATATATTTGCATTGATATATGTTAATGAGATATTAATGCTGAGAAGAGAAGATTGTGTTAGTTCTCTAACATCTGCATGTACCAGCGGTCTAGATAACATAGCTCTGCCACAGTCATTAGAATGCTTACCACATAGATCAGGAACTGCCAGCCAACAAAGTAATATTGTACTGTTCTCGCAGAGATAGCCTGGGATATGTTTGGAGCAAAGTTCACCAACAAATACGATCCTGCAAATGCCAATGTCATACCTTTAAGTAAAACAGAAAAGACAAAACAAGTTGAAAAGAGACATTTTAATCTTTTTGTTGATGTAAACATTACCTATAGACTGAGCATTACTTGTAAAAGTGCTGACAGTCCTGCCCTATTAAAATATAATTCATCAACCATCCCCTAGACAGCGTCACACATTCACCTGATAGCAGCACTACCTTTAAAGAGAGATAAGGGCCCTGGCCGGTGTTGCTAACTGGTTAGAGCACTGGCCCGCGCATCCAAGGGTCACGGGCGGGTTCATTCCTGGTCAAGGGCACATACCTGGGTTGCAGGTTCGTTCCCTCACCCCAGTGAGGGTGTGTGCGGGAGGCAACCGATATGTTTCTCTCACATCGATGTTTCTCTCTCTCTTCTCCTCTCTCCCTCCACACTCTCTAAAAATCAATGGAAAAAATATCCTCAAGTGAGGATTAACAAACAAACAAACAAACAAAGGGATAAGGGCCAGGGAATGGATGGGGCAGGGCATAACTTCTGACTTTTCTCTGTTGTTCCAGATAGATCCTGGCCTAAGCAGAGAAGTGTTCTGCTAAGATGGGAAGATCAGAACATGTGCATATGGAGACAAGAAAACCCAACCAAGCTGGCTGTTGGGGTTCTTATGGGCCAGTCAGTGCAAGATGGACCGGGATTTAGGTCTAGATGGCAGAGCCCAAGAGGGTGGGGAGTCCATCACCTGACCATTTATTCTGCACTTACTCATCTTGGGAGCCTTACACACACACACACACACACACACGTGATCTTACACTTAGAAACTCTGATAAATGAGCATCTTAATCATTGCCACTTTTTTGGCGTCCCTTTTGCAGAAATGAAGGTGAACATTGGCTTTGGTCTACGATATTTATAGCCCAATTTAGTATCTAGAATTCCAGGCATAGCTGAGTAAAATATCACATAATAAACCTATGGAAGGAATGTGTTACTGTCATCACTTTAACATTACTTAAAATAATGGAGGAAGGGCATGTGTGGGGGGAGTGGCCATGGAGGGGTAAAGGAAGGACACTTCCAAATAACACTGAAAGGTACTTATTTGTGAATAATTAGCAGCCCGAGAAAAAGTGACATAGGTAGCATTTTTCAGGTAGCACCCTTGAAAACATAATTCAACTTGCTCCATCACTGAGGTCGGCCTTGTTCTGTACATAATTGACAACCAGCATTGACTCCAACCTGAAACAATTTGATTTGTTGATAAAATCTCACACTTTGAAGACACCAATTTCCTATTCTTCTTAGCCAAATGATTTATGACTTTGAACTCTAGTTTCTGAGAACAGAGCATTTGATTTTTCACACAAGCTAAATAATAGCTATTCAGGGTACTGTAGAAGCTATAAAATAAGTTTCATCGAAATAACAATGTGTTCTGTAATGCTTTGTGAAGACAGAGATTATATACACAATTTTAAAAGCTATTTCTAATGAGATTTTAAAAATAAAAAATATACATTATTAAGCATTGTAATAAAAGGAAAATAATAAACACCATCTATAAGAACTTGGGCAAAATTATTGGTCAGCCTTGTCCTTTCTTTAGGAATAAAAAATTCTCTTATAATTGTTCAATATTAGGTTTCTAGGAAGAAGGGGCTAATAAAAACAGTTTTGTAAACTTGGTGTAGTAAAGTAGAATAAAAGCCTTGAATGCAATTTAGAAGTCTCAGAGACTTCCAACTTTCTCTTGTGAAATCCAAATTTCTTGTTTATATCGAGTTCCTCTGCCAGTTATTTCTTTATCTCATTTAACTGTATCTAGTGTCCTTTACATTTCTTTCTAAAAATTTACTTTTGAATGGGCAACGTATGTTAGAAAATTCAAAAGCACACAAGGGTGATGCGTGAAGAGTTAAATCTCTCTTCTACCCTGATGGCCTCCTAGTTCCAAGTTCTTGAGGTTTCCTTTTCTGAGATACTTTATGCACGTGTATATGCTGGTGTGTATGACTTTTGGATTTTTTAAAAAATATATGTTTTATTGATTTTTTACAGAGAGGAAGGGAGAGGGATAGAGAGTTAGAAACATCGATGCGAGAGAAACATCGACCAGCTGCCTCCTGCACACTCCCTACTGGGCATGTGCCCGCAACTAAGGATCTAAGATTTCTGAGTTCGATTCTTGACCAGAATCGAACCTGGGACCCTTGAGTCCTCAGGCCGACGCTCTATCCACTGAGCTAAACCGGTTAGGGTGACTTTTGGATTTTTTTACACAGACAATATTATACAAGCTTTTCTGTGTTTTATTTCTAATCAACAGAACATTTTGGAGAACGTTTCAGTACAGGTATGGCAGCCTCATCCTCTTCAAGTCTGCAGAGTTATACGGAGGTTGTGCTACTTATTTAACTTTCCAATATGGTCCCCATGTCACATCCTGACACAACCCCTCTCCCCCACGTCACATCTGCTTCCACATTTGTATACTGTTCCCATTTACACCAATGTAGATCTTCACTGCATTTCAAAACTCCTTAAAAACAAACACAATGACTAATGATTCCACAATTATACTTTCAAAGTACTTTTTCATATGCATTATTTCATCTGAGCATCACCTCACTGTGAGTTTGGTAAGTAACTTTATGACAGCTTGGTAGGTCATACCATTCTTTTTTTTTTTTTATTGTCTAAAGTTTTACATAAGTCTCCTTTTTCCTCAGTTGACTCCCCCCCCCACCCCCCAGCTCATACTATTCTTAATAATTTTAATCTCAGGCACTTACAAAGGCAGTCAGGATAGCTGCTGCCTGTTATATGCTTGTATATCTGGTGTTATTCTTTTTCTATGTGATTAACTATCTCCTTCATAAATCATGTGCACATTTTTCAAAAGTGTTGAAGATCGTCATTAGCAAGTCCTTAAGTGCATTTCCTTAAATTTTATTTATATTCCACTTTTTTCTAAAAGTGGCATGAGACGCCAGTTCGTGCGATTTTTATGTCAGTAAAGCCGTGAATATTCCCTTTTGAAAGACACAGATTTCTGACTTAGAAAACGTGCTGTTGGCCTCCTGCTGGTCCATTTGCCCAAAGGAGTGTCTGGAAGAATGAGCCACCGAAGGAAGGGAAACAGCCCTTAACACGCCCTGTGCCCACGGAAACGCTTACATTTCAGGTTAGGAACCGGATCGTGGAAGTCTAGTCTCAGCTGAAACTGCTCCCACAGAACGGAAAGGTCACCGCTATCTGCTAGCTGGAAGTTATTTATCCCTCTGTGCCTCGGTCTTCTCATCTCCAGGTCCACATCAAATGTCACACCTGCTCCATTCCAGGAATCTGGCTCTGCAAGAGGCCCGTGTGGGGAACTGAATATAATGTTTGAAAAGCTCACCTGCAGGCCTGATGGGACCGAGGATCCTGGGACAGTGACCTCAGGATGCTGACTGCCAGGAGTCACAGGCCAGCTGAGTTAAGCTTAAAAATTAATTCAGCCCTGACCGGTTTGGCTCAGTGGATAGAGCGTCGGCCTGCGGACTGAAGGATCCCAGGTTTGATTCCGGTCAAGGGCATGTACCTGGGTTGCGGGCACATCCCCAGTAGGGAGTGTGCAGGAGGCAGCTGAATCGATGTTTCTCTCTCATTGATGTCTCTAACTCTCTATACCTCTCCCTTTCTCTCTGTGAAAAATCAATAAAATATATATTTTAAAAAAATTAATTCAAAATTATGTCTCTACTGCTATAGTCCAGGGATCCAAAGGAAATGAACTAACAGATCACAGAGGAGACACACTGGTAGCCCTATATTTGCTGCCCACTGCTTTCCTCAGGCAGCCGGTGTGCAGCACCAAGATCTGGGTATTGGTGGGGACGGAACTCGGAGCAGCTGTGGGCAAAATGTAGGTGGGAGTCAACGACTGGACATGACCTCGATACAGGGACGTGGCCCCACCCACCACTCTCATGCTTAGACCTGCAGCAAATCCATTTCCCCATCAAATACAGCTCAAGTCACATAAGAGTCTACAATGACCTGGTGGGAATTTCAGATTTAACGATATAACATACAAGTATTAATAAAATCTCTTCCTATAAACTGGCCATATGTGCAAAACAAGTAAACAAGCTCATCCCTGCTGTTTGTAGAGCAGGTGTACTGGGGGTGGGGGGGAGCATATGCCAAGGGAGGGCAATCTTTTTCCTTTTTTAATCCTCACCCAAGGAGATTTTTCCATTGGCCTGTTAGAGAGAGTGGCAGAGAGAGGGAAAGACAGGAGGAAACATTGATGTGAGAGAAACACGTTGATTGGTTGCCTCCTGCACATGCCTTGACCAGGGCCAGGGCTGGAGAGGAGCCTGCAACCAAGGTACGTATCCTTGGCTGGAATCGAACCCAGGACTCTTTGGTTCACAGGCCGATGCTCTATCCACTGAGCCAAACCAGCTAGGGTGGCAATAATTTTTGTAAAGTGATGTTCTTAGCACTATTGATTTCATAGACAAGTGTGGTTGACATGAGAGTCACACTGTGATCACCATCATACTGAAGTGTGACCATCATAACTATAATGGTAACAGCTAATACTTACTAATATAAGCACAATTCTAAATGTTTTATATACAACTTAATCCTTATAATAAACTTGTAAAAAATAATTATACTATTAAGTTATTATACTATTATAAAATATACTATATGTATATATGTATATACATAATATCTATATATATAAAAGGTTAAGTAACTGACTGTCCAACCGTTCGACTGGCCCGTACATATGACGTGCACTGGCAATCTATCTATATATATAAAAGGCCAAGTGACTGACCATCTGTCCATCCATCTGACTGACTGGCTGGTACATACGATGCACACTGACAATTTAAAAATAAACGTTGACTCGCGCATGCATGATACATATACAGCTCTCCCTGGCACCAATTGCACGTGTGTTTTAATTTTATACTATATTATATATACTATTTTGACATATAATTTTTTGCAGTAATGTAATTACTGCAT